AAGTAGATCTTACTGCTCCTCATTATGAAGTTTTATCTTTTCTTTTTTTTTTTTTTAATTTAAAGAGCAGGTTTATTAGGGAAAAGGACAGGAGTACTGGCCACTTGCATAGGCACAAGCGGTACTGTCTCTGGAAAAGACAGGTTTGCAGAGACAGGTCTGCATGGTTGCAGGTGGGCAGCCTTAGGAGAGCAGCCTCCACCGAGGGTGGTCAGTGCAGAAAGGTCCTAGCATGGTACAAGTCAAAGACAGGCAGGAGGCTGCTGCCCTGTGGAGGGAAAGAATGGGTGGAAAGAAGCACCTGCATAGGCACAGGTGGGCAGAGGACTGCTGCCCCCATTCCTTAACACAGGATAAAAACCCTTGGCTTGTTCTACTTACTCTAGAATTTAGAGCTATGTAGAGTCTCCATACATAGGTAGTTAATTTTGTTCTCTTTCTCCTATTAACCCGTCTGATGTAAATTGATTGCTCAGCCTACCTAGGAAGAACCTGGATGGGGTGAAAGTTCCTCTCTGCTATTATACTGCTGCTCTTGTACCACCATAAGAACCATCGATATAGACTGCAGACCCTAGTGAGCCACAGAGCAAGCTTCTAGGGTCAGAACAGACTAGGAAAAGCCTTGGAAGAGTAAGGAAGGCTCCAGAGATAAAGGCAACAAATTCCAAAGGGGACTAACCAAATCCCCACCCCCCACTGGGGCAGCAGGACATTTCCAATAAGGACTTAAAGATCAACCTAAAGTCCTCTATAGTGGATTCTATAAAGGACTTGCATTGAGTGTTTATTGTATAGCTTCCTCTATAAAGGACTCTAAGATAAAAGCTGACACAGAGACATTAAGAAAGAGTGAGTGGGGCCACAGGGAAATAACCAGTCACAAAGAGACTGACAGGGCTTTAGAATAATTAGGGTAAGAAGGTGTATATTTATAGTCCCTGTGGCATAACCCCACTTCAGATTCCTTGCCCCTCCCTGGCCTGGTTTATTTCTGTTCCTTTTCTCCTTAATAAACTTTTCCTTATATCTGTTTTTCTAAATGAAATTTGCTTCTTTCTGCTTGCTCGCCTGAGTGTCAGCAAAGTTCCTGCTGCAGCTTCATGAGACACCAACCTGTGATAGTCTAGTGGCTGGGACTTAGCGCTGCCACAGCCGCCTGGCAGGGCCTGAGGGACTAGACCTACAAACCTGAAGGTAACAGCAGCATTAGGGAAGTTACTTACCTTTTTTAAGCCTCAGTTTACTTGATAAAAAGGGGAGCACAGGGAAGTTTAAATGAAGTGTTGCCTGAGAACCTAGTGTCATATCTACACTGGGTGCTTTAAATAAACGAACCCATTTTATGTTGGGGTTGCCCGGTAATAGTAGCTATTACAATAACTCAAATTCAGTTTGAGTTAAAATTTTAAGCATGCAAGCTAATTTGTCTATATATGGCATATAAATTGGATAGGTACTTTCTTTTACTTACATACCCAAATTCCCTCATTTCAGGCAAGATATCATTTCCACTTATTATGGCTGCAGTTTCAAATGAGAGAAGCCATTAATCCAGAAGATACATGCATCAAAGAGCCTATGTTTCTGAATATGTGTAAGTATTTTTCACTGTATGTTTGCACAGAGCTTTTTCTGTTTGTATGGAGAGAGGAATGCATTGGCTGGGGGCGGGGCGGGCGGGGGTGGGGTGAGGTATGCAGAAGACTTTATTTCTACACATTTAACAACAATAGAAAACTAAGGATCCCTACAAGCAAAGACTGGTTTAAAAATCACACACACACACACACACAGAGTTTAAAAACTAATCCTGAATATCAGGGTGAAAACATAAAATTTACAGCCCAATTTTCTTTTCTACCAAACAGTGCTAAAGGGAAAGGGACAGAAAAGCTCAGATTTGCTGTGGTCATTTCAGTTTTGAAGCAGCATTTGCACTTCATGTTTCTTCTCACTTCACAACTCACACCTCCGAGACCAGTCTCAGAAAAGCATCAAGCACGGGAAGGACAGAGGCAGAATTTGGGTGGGGCAGGATAGCAAGTGATTCTTCAACTTCCTCTCCCCTCCAGGGGTCAAGGCGTTTCTTTTCACTTGGTAGTGTCCTGTGTACAGTTGGGTCCTATTCACCAGCCCCAGCTGAGGTAAAGAAATTGCTCCCCTTCCCCTCTCACACAGTCAGCCTTCACAATGCAGTAGCACTGGGGCCATGTGGACTCTTAGCGGCTGTAAATTTTATGTTTTCACCCTGATATTCAGGATTAGTTTTTAAACTGTGTGTGTGTGTGTGTGATTTTAAACCAGTCTTTGCTTGCAGAGATCCTTAGAGTCTTAGCTCTGTATCCCCCATCATCTACTTGCCTTAAGGTGGGCAAGTTCCTCTCAGTATGAAATTTCTACACTAAGAAGTTAGTCTGGTGAGAAATTTCTGGCTTGGCACATGAGTTTTGGGAAACTTCCTGTTTTCATTTCTGATTTGGCACAAATAAGTCCCATTTTCTTGCAGGTTATTACCTTCATAATATGACAAAAAGATAGTAAACAACTTGTATCGAGTGCTTATTATGTGCCAAACACTTTTCTTACTTTTTTATTTTTAACATGTAATAATCTATTTAATCTTTACAACAACTTTAAAAGGGAAATTGTACCATTATTCCCATTTTAGAGGAGGAAGTGAGTCACAAGAAAGTTAATTGCCCAGAAGCACAGCGTTTTGCTCTGGGTAAAATCCAGAGATTGCTGATCCTGATCATTACACAAGTCATCAAGTTTGATAAACTTTGATTGAGTATATGAATCATTATGGTGAACATACTTTTGTTACTTGAAATCAGAACACATAGGAAGAACATAATTGAGCATGTCCTGGAAACTCAGGGATACATGAGAAATCCAAAAATGCAGGGGACCCAGAGATGGTAAAAAAGACCTTCTGTGAGAGAAATGAGGACTCTTGAGCCAGGGGCCCCAAAGTCCCTCTGCTGCAGATCCTTTGTTAATAACACTTACTCAGGGCTGTCTGAATATCCTTTTCTCCATTTTTCACTTCTGTCAAAAATCCCTTCAAGAATTTGAGCCCTCTGAAACAAAAAAAGGGGAGACATGTTATTTTCAAAGTTCACTTACATTAAATGGGTATAAAGAAATGGTAGACCCCAGTTTCTTTTTCATTATCTGGGCATAACAGTGAACAGACAAATCCTTGGGCAGTGCTTTCTGAGCTTTTCCTCTGTCATTTACCTTTAGCTTGCACTGGACCCTTCTTATATGATATACCTCAACAGTTGTTTTTCAATAGGGTCCCAGCATCAGCTGGGAACTTGTTAGAAATGCAAATTCTGGGGCCCACTCCAGACTTTTTGAATCAGAAACTGGGAATAAGGTAATCTGTGTTTTTATCAAATCCTCCAGGTGATAGTGATGTCATTAAAGTTTTAAGATCCACTGATTTAAAGAGAAACTAGTTCAACATTATCCTCCCTTAAGATTCCTATATTATACATACTGATATTGGCAATATTTATTATCAAGAAGGTGGCAAAAATTAGAAAAGTTTTTCTATTCATCATGTCTTAAAAAAGGTTATGCGATTAGGTTAGAGCTTTCACTCAGAAGTAGTCTTTGCATACATTTTGTTTTTCTAGTAACATTTACACTAGCCACATTTTAACGGCTGAACCGCTGAGCCACCCCAGGTCCAGCTGCCTTACCTCTTCAGCCACAAGAGGGCCTCCGTGGCTGAGTTCCTAACCTGGGCTACATCAGCCTCTAGTTCATGCAGCACTATCTTCTGGAGGGTGGTGAATTCTTCCTTATTGGTTATATACTTCTGATTTACCTTCTGCAGGAAAAGCAAAGAAACACTCTAAATTAAAAATACTAAGACTATCAAGGAACTCAGTATAATACTGAAAATTTTCAGTTTGTAAACAGATCCCTAAGAAATCAAAATAAATTTAGTTTCTATTACATTGCCCTATATTTTTAAGGTATCATGATTTTTTTTTTGTATGAGAAGTCTATGATGCTTAAGTTAAAATTAAACAGCTGTTTTAGGGATTTAAAGCATTTTTCTTCCTACCTCAGAAGCCTGAAGCTACTTTTTATTCTGAATGTAAAACTCAAATTCATTTGTATATAAATGAAATTTCATACAACCAATTCCTCCAAATACAGTCACCATACCAAGCCAGTATATTCACCTTAATATTTCCAACAAGATCCATTTTAACAGGAGCAAATACTGTAGGGCCAAGTTTGTCTAGAAGAAAAGATTGAAAATGTCTTTGAAGAAACAATTTATTAAAATAATTTTATAGTAACAAATTTAGCAGCTCTTCCCTCCCAACTTCTATATTTTGTTTTTAAATATAAGTTTTATCTTTTTATATTATACTGCCCTGAGCTGAATAGCTATGAAATGATCCTAAAATTCAGATTAGATGAAGACAATCTTTTGAGATTAAAATGCATATTGTAATCTTTAGGGGTGCATTGTCCAATATGGTAGCTATGAAATATGTGCCTATTTAGCATTCACAATGATACAGTAATAAGAGGCTCTTTTTTTAAAGATTTATTTATTTATTCATACATAAGTGGGGTACAGCTACAGGTGCAGGGGCGGTGAGAGGCTTCAGCAGAGATAGAGTGGGGAGCAGAACAAGCAGATCAAGGAAGCACACTGCTAAGGGGGCCAAGGGGTGGGTCAGGAGAGGTCTGCTGCGCCAATGTGGATCACCTCTGGGTTGGGGGATCCAACTTGAGCTGAAGCAGCTGCAGCTGGCTTGCAGTGCTGTGTTCTAATCCTTTGTGCCACCAGGGAGGGCCCAAGAGGCTCTCTTTTGGTCAAACCAGATAAGCATTCTCCTTTGTTTACCTGATTTCTTTTTCACATTCTGAAGGAAAAGAGCATCATTAGGAAGATAACATTTTGAATTGCTGACCAACAAGTGATGATAAAAGCAAGCTAGTGTCAACTGGTAGCAAGAATAAATACAATGATCCTTGCTAATCCCCTCTACACCCTTTTAACTCTGGATAAGTACTGCCCTCTGCCAGGAAGCCAGGACAGTGGTCTCACAGACAGAAGTCTACTGCCCTCTTCAGGTTGTTGACAAATTAAGTTACTTTTCTTCTCAATCTGTTTCCTTTTATTGACTGAGGGAAAGTTAAGTGGTGTTTGGTGACAGCACTGTAGCTATTTCCAACTCAAATGTGCTATTAAAATGTAAAATAGAATATCAGAAACAGAATGCAAAGTAGCTCATCAATGATTATTTTATATTGATTGTATGTTGAAATGATAATTTTTTAATGTATTGGTTAAATAAAGTCCACTGTTAAATTAGTGTTTGTTTTGTGTTAATCTTTTAACATGCTCCTAAAAAATATGGAAGTATTCAGTGGTTCAAATATTTGTTGGATAAAAGCATGACTGAAAAAGTAAAGCAAGGAGGGCTTTCCGAGTTGTTCAAGGGGTTAAGTCTCAACACTATGAAGCTATCTGCAGCCACTGCAGCACAAATTTGATCCTGGGCAGGGAGCTAAGGCCAGGTAGCTGACCCACATGGCACAGCAGACCTCTCCTGTTTCACCTACTGCTCCCTTCAGCAGTGTATTTCAGGAGATCTGCTTGTTCTGTTCCGCACCCTGTCTCTGGTGAATCCTCTCACCACCCCTCCCCTCATACACACCAAAGGCCTACGTAGATCCTAGTTCTTAAATGCATAAATAAAAGAAAAATAAATGAAATATTTACACAATGGAACATTATGCAGCAACAAAAAGGCATGAACTACTGATTTGTGTTATAAGGATGAAAACATCCCTCTGAGAGAAAAATTCAGATGCAGAGTACATAACATGATTCTATTTATATGAAATTTTTAGAATGATTGCCTTAGGCTAGAGGCTAGATGGCAGGTTGTCACATCCTATCATCTAAATCCATTGTTATATAGAACGTTCTGAAACATCCTAGTCTTGGTACGGATATGGATTACATAGGTAGGTACATTTGTAAAAACACACTATATCATAACACTTAAGGTTTATGCAAGTTATAGCTCACTTAAGGAAAAGGTGAAGAGTTAAAATGGTAATACAGCAAATTAGCAATCTCAGGTACGACTAAGTCTAAAAAGTAATTGTGACTGACACATACATTTTTACACATAATTTCTGAGAAAAGTTTTAACCGGTATAATTTGTTTTACATAGTACCAAAAAATTTGAAAGTCTATTCCTCAACTACTTTATCACTTCTGCTTTTCATGTATGATTTTTAAAAAGCAGAATTCCCTTCTTCACTACACTACTCTGAGGTCAATATTTAGTTAAATGGAAAAATGAATTAATGCTTAAGATCATACTGACTTAGTTGTGTCAGCTGATTACAAAGAAGTAGATAAAAATGATTACCACATTATACTCACAGTTGAAGATAACTCTTGCAAAATAACTAGAGACAGATTCTATAGACTAATGAATTTAGGGGAATTAATCTTACCTAATACTGGAACTACAGCATAACATGATGCCAAGAATGCTTCTGTGGGGATGCCACTGTCTTCCAGAAGCTCAATGTCACTAAAGCTTAAATTTAGTGATAAAAAAGAGGAAAGATTAGAAACACAACATTAGCATTCTTTGCAGTTCCAAGGTAGTCATGAAAACACCTGCCTCTCTACAGGGCAAGTCATTTGGTCTGATTTCAGAAATGCCCCAGTGATCATTTTTCTATTATAATATAGTTCAATAAAATATTTTTTTCAAAGATAATCCACCAAAACAGGCTAAATGTTTTCACAGAATATACACTCACAATTCAATTTCTGCTCTTTCATTAATTTAGACAAAATAAGGAGTAAGGCAGGTATTTGATAAGACATACTCTCTAGTGTACTAGAATAAGCCTCACCTAAAAGAAACATTAGGATTGAGTTTCCGGAAAGGAAGCTGGTGTACAACGGACAGTGCTTTTATAGTGTATAGATTACCTGGTATTCATGGTGCTAAAGAAAGTTGGGATAGCTTCTTGGCTTTCCTCCCACTGAGATTCTGGAGAACAACTTGAGCAGTCTGATCCAGGCTGTGCCAATTTGCTGTCATGATTTTCCAGGTTTTCCTCTCCATCTTCCTTTATTATTTTACCTTGGACTATAAAGTATATGATGCCTATTACTAATCTAACCTTTCACTTATTGTAAAATTAATATTTATTCATTGTTGAACATTTTTAAAACAGAGAAAAGTACACAGAATAAAAATACTATAAAAGTAAACAGCAAAATACTATGCAATTAAAATATATATAACATGCAAAATTGGCTTCATATATAATTGATTTGTAGTCCACTTGTTTTCAGTATATCATGAATATCATTACTGTTCAATACTCTTCAATCTGTAATTTTGATCGCTGTAATATATAATGGTCATGGCATTTAGAGGGTCTCTAAAATGTTACTATTATAAATACAATTGATTCTCTTAACTCATGTATTCTGTATTTGTGAATATGTCTACTTGCTGGCATTTCCTTATTTAAACATCAATGCCTGTAAACTCTCCAGTCATCTGTGGATACGTGGTGAAAATTTGAGACATACACTCTATACTCCCAGCTGACACTGCACAGGTGACACTGCCTTCTGGATTCAGCTCTCATACTGTACACAACAAGTATCTTTATTTAGTTTCACCTTTTTTTTTTTTTGCATTTTTGCTGTTTAAAAGGATGCCACATGTATAGTACTATCTGGTATTCCTAAATGCAAGAGGCTGTGATGTGCTTTATAAAGAAAGTACATATGTAGATAAGCTTTATTCTGGCATGAGTTATGGTGATACTCACTGTGAATTCAATGTCAATGAATCAACAAGAGATATTAAAGGTTTCCTTAAGTAGAAACACATATAAAGCAAGGTGACATATGGACCAATTGACGATATTTACTAACTCAGAGGTGACTTTATAAGTACACTTGATATATAGATAGAATACAACTAACATGAAAAATGAGAATATCACAAAGAATATCCCCATTCATAGATATTTGTCCTTAAACATGACTATGTCCTGAGAATAAATTCTAAAAGTAAAATTATAGGGTTAAATTAATTTTTGTTTCAATAGCAAGTCTCCTGTTTTTATTATTTACGTAGAGATAAGATTTCAGTAATGAGTGAAATGCTTGCCTAAGATTAACAACTAAGAAAATGTATCTTCTTTTCTCCCAACTCATCTGGAAAAACAAGGTCTCTTCTTTCAGGGGAGATGAGAATATTTTTAAATTTTATTTTCAAAACATTTATTAAGCACTTAAAACGATTAAAAGTTCTAGTATGGTTAATGTGGACCTATCTGAAAAGGGTTTTTAGTGGGTAGCACTAAAGGAATTAGTAAATTCAAAAGGACAGCATTTTCAAATACAGACTATGAAATGAAATGTGGAACCTGAGCATGATGGACACAGACAAAACAGGTGAAAAGCTGGGGGTGACTGTCGAATTCTAACATCCTGAGGTCTCATCAGAAACTAGAAAGATGAAAAACTGAACTGCCATCGTATTTGATGTCCTCTTAAGTCTGACATCACAGTCCAAGTTTAAATGACTTTGGGACACAATAGAAAACCAGTGAAATACTCTAAAATGTCAGCACAGACAGTGACTGCTCACTGTAGTCCACGAACATCACAGCAGTGGGTGCAGGATTATCTTCTGCCTTTTCAACACTGGATCAGCATGTAGTGGGGAGAAATATTGGGGTGAAGAAGGGATGACAATGTGTTATGGAGCCAACATCTCCTCAGGAGATACTTGACAGACTGTCTAGAAGTCATATCCTATCAAGATAATGATCAGATAATGACTCTCAAGCTCCCAAGATCCTATAGTTCACCAGTTTGCTTCAGACTTTACTGTTGTTTCTAACCTGTTACATTATCATCTGTATTTTCTTCACTTGATATGCTGCAATCTGTGTCAGCAGGTTTCAAATATAAGGAGTTCTTGTTTCTCATCAGGATTTCTTCATCATCATTTATTTCCATATTTAAAGATCCATTTTCACAATTGTTTAATTCCACTTGCCTGAAACATTTTTAAAAAGAGAATAGTAAAAATGTCTATTTGGTCAATTTAAGATCTTATTCTGAGAGGTAGGGAAAGAATTCACAATCACTAACTCCTTTTAAATCAGTCAAAAAATAGAATTGTTAAAGCAAGCCAGATCTCTATTCTCTTGCCTCCAAGGCAGATAGCTCTGCCTGTGACAGTAGATTTATATCTGGCTGAAGTTCAGATGTTAAATAGGCATTCTTTGCTCTAGAGGTGACCTCAGCTGACTCAGTCTCCCAGCTCCCCCCACCAGTAACAGGAAAGAGTCATTGACATCAATTTGGTTTTCAATCAGTTTTCTATAGGAACATTTAACACTTTTCTCACTTTCCCTAGCTTCTCCATGGGAGGCCCTTCTTAGTTTTCAAAATCACTAGCTATTTCCATACGTTTGCCTGGGAGTTAACTTGTCAGAAGTCTCCCTCTGTGGTCAGGGGTAACTATTCCCTTCAAAGTATGTCTAACAGTAAAAATTTGAAAGGACAAGATAAATCCTGAGCACCTGTCACTCCTTAGGGTAACAGGAAAGATAAAAACCGAAAGGGACAATTAATGGTAAAATTTAGAACATCTTATGACAAGTGACTATACCCAGCTAAATTAGAAAAAAATATATAAATATAATAAACAAAACTTTAAATAAAAAGGTCTAAGCAACATGCTGATTCTGAGAAAAGCAATTATTTCCCATAGAAATACCATACATATTTCAATATAGCAAGTTTAATGCAGAGTATATTGGAAAACACCTCCATAACATCTACAATATCTTGTCACAGATTGTCCTAAACATTTCTACTTTGATATCATAACCACTAAGGAGCAGGATAAAGAAGACTTAAAAGTGGGTAACCAGTCTTTAGGAATCACATTCTTTAGGAATCACAGTAGTGATTAAATCCCAGCATTTGCCCTCCTCTGTGCACCAATTGCACCTCTGTATCTTTACCTCAGGATAACAAGAATGTATTTTTTTAATGTCGATGAGTTTAGTATATAAATTTTCCGATTGTTGCAACAGTTCCTATAGAATGAAATCTATTATACTGCTTTCCAAATTTAAATCCTCACTGACTATTTAATAACTTTGTTAATCATTGAGGCTTTTATTCTAATCCACAGGAAAAAATTGTTACTGTTAAAAGAAACAATCCCCAAATGAAGTTATCTGTGCTGAACCCATGTTACCAAACTGAGACTCACTATTAACTTAATTGCAGTTTCAGTTTCTCCCAGTAATGTTATCCTAAGGAAGAGGTCTGAACTTTTTCAGTTAAATAAACTGCCTGATAGGTCCTACTGGGTTACAGGGGAAATCGTCCCCCATTCTTTTCTCAGACTGGTGGAGCAAACAAATTAACATCAAACAGACAAAAGGAGAAAAAGACCAAATTTAATTATAAATTTTTGGAGAATTTACACAGCTATCAGTTCTAGAGAAAATGAGACATACTGACGGTTTATGTTTTGAGATAAAGAGGAGGATAGGAACCTAGGGAATGGCTCCTATGGGCACCATAGATGGCAAGAGGGTCTCACTTGACAAGGGGAGAATAACTTAAAATAACACGAGATACTCTAGAGATTTGTCATGCCCCAAGATAGGTTTTTGCAATAAAAAGGTTATTTTTGGAGATGATTAACTCTGGTAATCTTCATTCTTTAAGATAATGGCAACAATTTCCCTAGAGACCTGCAGGGTCTTGACTGGCCTTACCCATGTATGCCAAAGTGACATGTACTGGAAAAATCTATCTGAACATTTGGAGAGAGCTATTTTTCAACTCTGTCCCTCAAAGGAAGGTGACCTTGCCTGCCTTCCACTATACTCTACTTGCTAACAACTTCCCTTTCTGCCTGTATAAAACATTCATTCAGCATAGTTCTTCAGAGCTCCTTTTCATCTGCTAGACCTGGGTCATGAATCTTTGAGTAAAGTCAGTAATATCTTTAAAATTTAGTCAGTTGAATTTCATTTTCTTAACGAAACCCAACTGGGAATAATCCTTTTTCTAAAGATGCAAACAATAGTATATACACAGCTGATATATTAGATATTAATTTGAAAGGACAAATACATGAACATGTCAAAATATGGAAATGCTTATGAAATTAAAAAATGGAATAAAGCCCCCAAATATTTGAAAAACAACTATGTAATGAATACTTTTGTTTAAGTCAAAAGGAGTATTTAGAGGAAGAAATAGTTTGTATTCTGATGCAATTTATATACTGTTTTCAAACTGTAAAGCCACATAATATTTTTATTTTTAAACAAAAATAGTACTTTTTTTCTTGATAAAAAGACACTTAAGTCATTGCTTAGTTTCTTCCAAAGAACAAGGTTCCAATTCTCAGGAAACTAGAGACATTAAAAGTTATTAATGTGATGAGTGAGATCCAGATTCTAAGGAAAATGAAAACATCTTCTGTAGCAGTTGATGCTAACTGAAGGGTATATATTGCTTCAGTATCACCTCAAATAGGAAAACCATACAGTTTCCTTATGATATTACTCAAATCATGAGAAAAGTCAGCATACAATCAAAGTATTCTTATTTTTTAAAAAAAAACAAGGAATAACAATTTTTGTTTGTTTGTTTAGAAAGAGAAAAAGTTACTATACCTTTCCAGTGAATTATGAATCGGTACAATAGGATGTTTCATCTTTAAAAGAGATCAAGAAAAAGTTTATATGTTAAACTTCCAACAGAATATAATCAGAATTTTATCAAACATGAAAGTAGTAAACATGACCATAACTACTAAGAAAGCTAGCTTTTGAATGACATAATTATCATAGTCAAACCCTTGATAGTTAACTTTTTATAATTTTTGCTATACTATTTAGGTCAAATAGTCGTAAGTACCAATCTAGGACACAGCATGATATTGAACATCGGAAGAACAGTGTTCATGCCCTTGAGGTAAACTGAATTTTGCTAAAACAGGGTATGTGTAAGGGTATAATCATCCCAGCCTAGGAATTCATCAAGATGAATAAGAGCTAACAGACAGGTGAGAAGGCATTGTTGGTACTGGGAAATTGCATAAAGATGTGGGGTGAGCTATAAGCAGTTAATACACTCAAGCTAGGTAAAGACAGAGAAAGAGGCTGGGCACTGGAGAAGCGGGTAAGACATTTTGACTTTAACTTATAGTCAATGAGGGAATCACTGAAAGGTCACCAAAATCTCAGGTAGACTCTCTGGCCATGGAAGATAGAGGGGAGGTTAGACACATTAGAGACATGTTTTGGTGACACAATTGCCAAAAACTATTAACTTGATATTGGGGACTAAGGGCAAGTATAAAAGTGAACACAAAGTAAAATCCACTAAAAAATGTATTTATCAGTCACCAAAGGATAACAGAGATCATAGCTTAGTATCACTTTCTTAACTGTCAACCTTTCTTTATGCTTTGCTTCAGCCAAGCAGTGCTGGGCTGTTACCTTATTGGACTTGAGCACAGCCAGCTGAGGCGAGCCTGGGGGAGTTCGATACAGTAACTCAGAGGTGAAGGCTGCATTTGCAATCTGCATGCATTCTTCTAAAGTCTTCAGAAAAGTATTGCAGGTTGATTTCAACAGAGTTCCCACATCAATTTCCTCCTACAAAAACAACCAGAGTGGAAATCTTGTTTACTTTGCCAAAAAAGAAAGTCCAAGTGTGTAATGTTCTTATCCTCAATATGATAATGTATCCATCTATTCTGCCAGACAAATATGTACTCAGAAGAAGACTGAGTCCATCAAGTATCCATAAGCCTTACCCTCGATCTGACCCTTTACACTGACCCACTCACCTACTGAGCTGAAACAAGTTCTTTCAACTGGACATTGTACCAGGGGCTAGGCACAGTGCCCTCATGAAGTTTCACATCTATAACGGGGGGTGACAGGTATAAAACAAGAAATCACACAGACTGTAGATTGACTTTAGTCTTCAGATTTCCACTGCCTGAGTGAAAGTGAGGTTGTAGTACAGAAGCACAGGAGATTATAAATCAAAAAATTTCTGCTTGAGTGAATTTTTTTTGGCTTCCAGTACAGAATAGCCTAAGCAGTTTTAGCAACTGGGATCTTTTAAACATCTAACTAGTGCCTCCTCTAAGTTATTTTACTTGCTCAAGGTGTTTTCCACCTGGATTATTGATAGTAATAAACTCTTTAGGAAGCTGACACTACACCCTGATTAGAAAATGTGGCAACCACAATTTAGTGGCATTAAAGGAACTAGATTGGACCCAAGATGGAGTTCTTCATGTTAAGTCTCATGTCAACAAACCAAAAACTAAGTTTCTGCACACAGCTATCTCAGAACAGGATGGCCAATCAGCCACCTATATCTATAACATATCTTTTTGATAGGCACTCACCTACTTTTGAGCACTTAAATTATTTCCATATCTTGACTATTTTAAACAGTGCTGAAATAAATGTAGGAGTGTAGGTGTTTTTGTATTCTTTGGGTATATACCTAAGGGTGGAATGATATGGAAGATTCATTTTTAGTTTTTTGAGAAACCTCCACACTGGTTTCCACAGGGGCGGGACCATTCTACATCCCCCATCCTTGCCAGCACTTGGCTGTTTCCAGCCTTTTGAGATGGGCCATTCTCATTAAGGTGGTGTATCTCACTGTGGTTTTGATTTTCATTTCCCTGATGATAAATGATGATAACCTTTTTTCATGTGCCTTTGGCCATCTGTATGTCTTTGTAGAAGTTTGCATTTAGGTCTTCTGCTCATTTTTTAGTCTTCTTACTTAGTCTCTTTCCAAAAGTCAAATTTGTATTACCAAATATTTATTTACTATAACTACAATATCACATTTACAGTGCATCTCTACCTCAGCACCAGAAACATTTGGAGATGGCTAATGTTTGGAGTGATGAAAGTAAAGGAAATAGCTCTCCTATTTATTACAGTATTTTAAGCAGCATCCCTGGCCTCTACTCACTGGATGCCAAAGCATTTCTTCAGTGTTGACAACAAAAATGTCTTCAGACAATGCCAGATGTCTCCTGGGGCGCAAAATTGCTCTAGACTGAGAATCACTCTCTGCTTTAGACTGCAAACATCCCTAACTGAAATATTTTTAATATTCTTTTCCTACCCAGCACAATCTATTTTACACAATTGGCAGTTGCTGAATGAAATTGAGGGCCCAAAAGGAAATGAATGAAAGTGAATTAAATCACCTTTGTTAGAAAAACCCAAAGCACATATGTTATTAGTAACACAGTATTCTTCTACTACCTAAGAAAAGTAATTTGAAACAATTATGTCTGTAGACTCCTCATTTTATAGGTATTGCTTTTCAGATTAAAATGTCTGAGAGTACGGAAGAGAGAGAACCTCTCTAGTTAATGTGAGCCATTCAATGAGCACTTTAACACGACTTAGATCTTTTAAAAGATGTTAGTATGAGTGAATGACAACTTTATTAGTACTAATATTAAAATGTGAATACTTGCTGATATGGAGAGAAAAAAGGTCGTATCTTCTTCTTTGGCAACATTAGTCTGCACTAAAACATAATTACTATAGTGAAATTAAATTCTGTTAGTCTTATCTAAGGTGAGAGATACTATGTTGGGATCTTAATAGAAATGACTCTTCTGCACAAGTAAGGCCGAATTAAAAACCTGCAAGAAACATACACTAGTATCATAGTTAAAGGTTCCAAATGTTATCAATTAATAAAATCCTAAATTTGTTTCAGAAAGGGAAGCAAACGCTTTCATATGCTGAAATGCACACATTTCCTTTTGTTGCATTTTATTACGTTTTTATCTGAAAAGTAGTAAATTTTAAGATAATGAGGGATTATAAGAAAATAAATGTAACTGGTGTGTAACCAGTAAGTAACAGCTTATGCTACTTTTTGTGTGGTTAAAGACAATATTTACCTCAGAATTGGACACACCAGTTGTAGTCACTTCCTTTGTTTTATCTACTTGCTGAACAAGGAGGTCACAGTAGAGTCTTAGTTCCGACATTTTGGTTTTCAAGTTCTCAGTGTTTTCAGCAAACTCTAAACAACAAGGTGAAAATATAATTATAAAAATGAAAAACTGATTTACCAGTTAGCATATAGTGCAGATAGTAGAATATGTAACCTATGCCCTAAATCAGATGTTTACAGAATCGGTTACATAATATGAATCAGGTAAAGATCTGGGAGCAAATAAATACAGAAAAAGGAGAATTCCAGTCTTTTGAAGTAAAAAGCATTATTTCTTGAATCAACATATTGCATGATCAGCAGTATAGGAATGAAGCAGGATACCAATGAGCTATGTGTCAAGTGTTCAGTTCTGCCACACAGTTCTCTCTACCTGTAAATCGGATAACAGACAATCTACCCACTAACATGGTGCTTAAGTATGGAAAACAATGTCCTGTAACATGAAATTAATACTTAATAAGACTATTGTTAGGGGCAAGCATTCAGGGCTTGTCCAGCATGCTAGCAACGCTAAAGGCATCCTCTACACATCTGTGGCTCCCTCATTATCATGACACTCCAGATATAATGCTGCCTCTGGTTTTCTTCTCCATGAAAAAGTTGACCTCCATGAAAAAGCCGATCATTATCATCTGATCTGAGTCAAAGTTGACAGGATCTACAATATGATCCTGATTAGAAAACAACCTAGGATGTGGTCTATGTCTACTTGAAAAGTTAAGCACATTTCCCATACATATTATTAGAAAGGTCATGAAATTTTTCCCCAGAAGCCCCTGGCTCTCACTAATCTCATCAGGAGAGCTCAGGCTGCAAGCCTTCACCCAGTCTAAGCAAAGGCGTGCATCATAGTTCTCAGGAAACCTAATGGTGGCAAGTTAGTGAGCATGAAGGGGTAGCAATCTAACATTTAAGTACCCATCCCATCCCAGGTAAAGGGAGAAGCATGGTGTTACTGCAGAAAGCACCTTGATCCAAGGCTCCTCTGACTCAGCAATACTTTGTCAAAGGTCAACTCTGTGCCAGACTGGGTACAAGACACTTTCATATCACTAATTTACTATCTCTTTTTAAAATATGAGGTAACCAAGAACCAGAGATTAAGTGACCAAGGCCACAAACCCAGTAACTTGAAAAGCCAAGCTACAAGACAGTTGTATCTGGCTCCAAAGTCTTTACTTTTTCTACTACCATTTGCTAACAAAGAAGAGTTAAAGTACAAACTCTTGTTTGAATTTCACTGAAGTATATATCATTTCCATGTTGTACAAATCAATTTTGGTAGTTGAGGCAAGATAACAAAAATGGAAACCCTCAGATATCAACATTGGATGATTTCTAAGATCCCTAGGCCAAACACAATATACTTGCCTTTCTCCTTTTGTGTCCTACTGTCTGTAAGGCAAGCCTTGGCTGATCCCAGGGCCACTAGCCACCGCTGTCTCTCAGCTACACTTCTGGCCTTCAGGTAGAAGTATTGTTCACCAGGAATTATCAGGTCCATGCGTGTGTTATCTACCGAATGAACTAGGAGCAAGGTAGAATGAGGTTAAGGACTTAGAAAAACCCTATCTGGGTAGCCTCCAACCCACTCAAATTCTTGTGCAAAATTGGTGCTGGTCACCAAAGGTTTCTTCCAAGAAAGGATGCCAGCTGTTACTCTCTCTTCTAGTTTATTTACCTCTTTCTAGACACCTCTGTGGCTGAAGAGGGAAAAACTTAGCTCCAAGGTATGGTCAAGACGTCAGTCTAAGAAAGCACCCTCAACTGGTGTTAGGATCATTTTTTAAAAAAAGATGTATTTACTTATGTATACAAGAACTGGGGTAAAGGCCAGAGGTATAGGGGGTGAGAGAATTCGCCAGAGACAGAATGGGGAGCAGGACAGGCAGATCGACGGAAATACACTGCTGAGGGGAGCAGCAGGTGTGTCAGGAGAGGTCTGCCACGCCACGCCATGTGAGTCACCTCCCTGGCTAGGGATTGAACTTGTGTTAATGTAGCTGCAGCCACCTTCATAACATTTTGCTTTAATTGGTTGCGCCACCAGGGAGGACAGGATCATTTTTTTTAAAAGATTTTTTTTAGTGGGCCCTCCCTGGTGGCGCAGTGGGTTAAAGCACAGCACTGAGAAGCTAAAGCCACTTCCTCATGAGTTCGATCCCTGCCTGCCCCGGAGGTGATCCACACACAGGCAGATCTCTCCTAACCCGCCTGCTGCTCCACTCAGCAGTGTACTTGTCAATCTGCCTGTTCTGCTCCCCACTCTATCTCTGGTGAATCCTCTCACAGCCCCTGCATCTCTGGCCTGACCCCAGTTCTGGATGCAAAAATAAATAAATCTTAAAAAAAAATTAATTTATGCATCCAGAACTGGGGTATAGGCCAGAGGTGCAGGGGCTGTGAGAGGATTCACCAGAGATAGAGCGGGGAGCAGAACAGGCAGATTGTCAAACTACACTGCTGAGGGGAGCAGTGGGTGGGTGGATCACCTCCCCATGTGGGTCACCTCCCAGGCAAGGGGTGAACTTGCACTGAAGTAGCTGTGGCTAGGTTGCAGTGCTGGGCTCTAACTCGTTGCGCCACCAGGGAGGGCCCAGTGTTAGGATCTTTTATCAGAATAGAGAGGGAATCTTTTGGCTTGTGTATGGGTAAAGTATGATATTTCAAGGTCAGCAAATACAGATAAACTCTTTATCCCTTTGAATTTATTGAAAAGCGATCAATAGCTCAATATTTTATATTTTCTTTCCTATTTCCCTTGACAGGCCTGATCAAAAGTGTGAGAATGCCTTCAGAGCTTTTCAGAAGAAACATGCAAACAATACTCCCCTTCACCCACTCCACCATCATCTCCAAACTCCCTTTTGATCTGTATTTGAGCCACTTCTCAATCATGTCTTAAGATTCCCCAAACCAAGAAATAAAGGCTAATTATAGGTGCTAGTTGTTTGCTTGTTTTTGGTTTGACTATGAGGTGTTGGTGAGAAGGTCTGTGTGTCCTGATTTCAACAGAAGTGTTTGATGCTGTAATAAAAAGACTTAAATAAGCTTTACACTAGCCTCAGGAGGGCAGGTGACTAAGGAATGAGCAATACATGTATGGTGCATACACTACTCTCATTTATTTTGATGACCTCTTAATCAGCCTCCTTGGTAAAAACTGATTGCAGTTTTAGGTCATATAAACAAGGCTTTCTTTTGGGAATTAAAACTATATATCTTTGTTCTATGAGAGCAACACAGAGAGTACACAAAAGTTAGTAGCTTTATATTTTTGGGGAAACAAATGAAAATAAACTCTGCAAGTCTTTTCATTTCTCACCTTGAATTTCACAGACTGCCATCTGGATGCTTCCTTTGCAACCTTTCCAAGCATCTTCAGGAGAATCATAATAGGATAATATCCCCCCACAAAGAAGGAACCATCGAGGCTGCCAACCTGAAAGCAAATACAAAAGCACGGTCTCCGTTACTGCCTGCATGTGCAGTGCCTCCCAAGAAACAGTAACCAGATGCCGTGTTCCAGCTGCAAGGAGGGTACATTCCAGGGGAATTCTAAAGGAGCGCAGCAGATGTGAGAAAGCCTAAGCGTTTGATGCCACTTTTAGGGGAAAGATCAAATTAAAAACAATCCACTAGAAACATTTATTTTTAGTCACATAATATACTGAAGCCTAGAAGTACCAGCAACAATTACCTCTAGGTAATTGGATTACTAAAGACTTTATTTCCTACTTACCCTTATACCCAGTACTAGTAATCTGTGGTTTTAAATTTTTTTTTAAGATTTATTTATTCATACAGAACTGGGGTACAGGCCCGAGATGCAGAGGGTGAGAGGATTCACCAGGAACAGAGTGGGAAGCAGAACAGGCAGATGGACGAAGCACACTGCTGAGGGGAGCAGCGGGCGGGTCAGGAGAGGTCCTCAGGGGCAGGCAGGCGGGGATCGAACTCATGCATGCGGAATTGGCTTAAGCTTCTTAGTGCAGTGCCTCAACCCGCTGCACCACCAGGGAGGGCCCTAAATTTTTTCTAAATAATCATTGTTCCCTGTATGTTACTGCTATCATACTCTTGCTCTCCTCTGTGGTTAAGAATTATCCCAAACTTAGAAATGGGGCAAAAGATTGTCCTGCCCTACCAACATCACACAGAATGCTGCCTACTTCATCAGGATGCTTAAGGTGACTTTGATCTATTTTGTACTGATCATTGAAATGGACTAACTTAAATATTCAAGATGTCAACTACCTTTACTTTAGAGAATGCTCAGGGACACACTATATAAAGTAGAAACATAAATCTTATCTAGTCCTTTTTTATACCCTATATATTTTAGTCAAACCACATTTGTTGTATTCCTGCTTTTGAACCAGCTGGGCTTGCTTTCTAAAATGCCATCCTTCTCTGCATTAGCCTTGTCAGTGTCCTTAGGTATGTGTTTTATTGTTTGTTTTTTTTTCTCTGAAATGCAATATTCCTTTTCATTTCTATCAGGGGACTGACTATTCTGAGTGTGAACAGCCAAAAAAGTTCATGGGGGCTTTGGGCAAAAGTCACCCCTGGAGGTTAAAATGGTGTCAGTTTATTAAATCATAAAGGGAAATTAGTGCACGTCTGGAAACATCCTCAAGCTTAAGAACAGGGAACAGGAAACGATGTAGGGCATCAGGAGGCTAAATGGCCAACACCAAATCTAAGCTTGAGTACAGGTGTCAGATGGCAGGAGAGATGCTTTATTCCTTCTTTGCTTTCAGGGTCTAAGGGCCAGGATACATATGCTAACAACGTACAGAACTATCACTTCCTTAAACAAAACAAAACAGAAACTATTCTCAACGACCAGAGTCTAATAATTTAATACCTGCATTATTTTGAAATAACCTGCCACACAAGTGTTTCTTACTAAACAATCAGCAGTCTTTTCTAAAACTGACTGATATTCTTCCTGTTTCCTTTACTAGATGTTAGGAACCCCATAGCCTTGCCTTAATATCCATACAAGTCAATTTTTGGCTAGTAAAACTTTCTGGACTTGTACATTTTTATTCCATAAAGTAAGGCTCCCTGAGCTTGGCATCAAACTCCATAGAAATTAAAACTTGAAGGCCACTGTAGAAACTTAGAATCCACGAAACCACACTGAGGTCAGACTATACCTTGAGCAAGGAACAGAACTCCCAGAATTAGATATTACTGGTGATACTTTAGTGCTTTTGCAAGAGTCTGTTATGTATAACTTAGGCTAACTTCCCTCACTGAAGCAGAAGAATCAATTTGTGAGAAATGAAAGAGATCGGCTCTTCCTGGCGGTGCAACAGATTAGGATGCAGCACTGTAAGCTAGCTGCAGCAACTTCAGTAGGAGTTCCATCCATGCCCCTGGAGGTGACACATAGTACAGCAGACCTCTCCTGTCTTGCCCACTGCTCCCCTCAGCAGTGTACTTTGTCGATCTGTCTGTCTTGTTCCCCACTCTGCCTCTGGTGAATCCTCTCACTGCACCTGCACCTCTGGCCTGTATGCATAAATAAATAAATCTTTCAATAAAAAAGAGAGAGCAATGAAAGAGATCTTTGATATCACCTGGTGCAGCTAGCTTATTTTATAGGTAAGAAAACCAATGCCAAGTAGACTGAGTGCTTACCTGAGGGCACATGGGAGTACTTAGCAGAGCAGGGAGAAAACCAGGTTTTTGTATACTGTTGCTTCTGGCATAATAATCCCCAAACCCTGGTCCTTCATTTCTAAAAAGCTATTCTGGTACATCTTTTTAGTTACACCTTTTTTTTCCTTAAAACTTAACTGATTACTCTGATGTGATCACTTCTCAAAACATACTATGTATGACTTTTTGATAGAAGGAATTCAGGGTATCTTCAATTACTATATTTTGTCAAGTTTAGGACCCCATCTATAATAGTCAGGATTCTCCAGAGAAACCAAATAGTATGTATGTGCATTTGTGTACAGTACAAGAGTGTGTATCTGTTTATCCACTATATATCTACATTTATTATAAGTGATTGACTTACAGAGAATGTGAATTTTTTTTTAAAGATTTATTTATTCATACAGAACTGGGGTACAGGCCAGAGATGCAGAGGATGAGAGGATTCACCAGAGACAGAGGGGGGAGCAGAAAAGGCAGATAGAGAAGTACATTGCTGAGGGGAGCAGCGGGAGGGCCAGGAGAGGTCTGCTGTGCCATGTGGATCTCCTCGGGGCAGGCAGGAATCAAACTCATGCGGAAGTGGCTTAAGCTTCTTAGTGCTGAGCTTTAACCTGCTGCACCACCAGGGAGGGCCCAAGAATGTGAAATTGTAAGATCTGCATTGGGCAAACTAGGGGCCCAGAAGAACTGATATTTTAGCCCCAGCCTGAGTCTGAAAGTCAGCAGACCTCAAACCTAAGAAGAGTTGTTGTTTCAACTCTAGTCCAAACGCAGAAAGGGAGCAAGGTTTCATTTCTTCTATTTAGATCTCTAATTGGCTAAGACCCACTCACATAAGAGAAAGCAATCTACTTTACTCAGTCTACTAAATCAAATGTTAATTTCATCCCTAAACATCCTCACAGATACAACCATCATAATTTGGCCAAACATATGGTCCAGGAAGCTTGACACACAAAATTAACTATTACACATCATCAATTTCAAGACATATCATCATTTTATGTAATTAATATAAGGAAGCAAAGAAATAGCTTGTCCATTAAGCAATTACATGACACTGATGGAAGCTTAGAGTAGAAAATTTGTGATAGAGGCATCATAAATCCAGACACTGGAGGTGGGGGCAAAATGATTAACACAGTTGTTAAACCAGCTATAGAAATTAACTCCTAAGAAGCCCTGCAGAAAGAATCTGGAGGAACAGACCAGTGTGGGAGTGTTTGAAGGGGTTGGGGGGGGGGGTTGGTAGGGAGTTTGAAGGCTCTTAGACAATCACCTGTCTTTAAAAATTAACTCAATTACACCCTACAAGTGATTAACAATAGATAACAATTTCACAAAGGAGTGAACCCCTCTCCAAAAGAATAGTCAGAATAATTTCCGCACTGAAAGAGGCAGCTCTCTTCCCGAACTGTCCATCTGTGTCTATAAAGTTGTCTCTTTTTTCTTTCTGTTTTCTAGTAAAGCTGCCCTTTTAATATGTGACCTTCACTTGCTGTGTCTATGCAAATGTCTTTGTCTCCTGGGCAAGACTAAGCATGAACTCTCCGGATACCAGGTGACAAGAAATTGGCTGAGACTTTTCTCAGAGGACCCAACGATGGTGCTGAGTAAACGCTATACCTCATCAAAATGAGTTCACTAATTCCAAGACACTTCCTGATTTCAGTGACTGAAATGTGAAAAAAATATCTAAAACTTGAAAAAAAGTGGTACTAGATTATACTTGTATTACAAAACTCTGAAAAAGGTTGACCAGTTCTCCCTAATCACACACATACATAGAACACAGCTGCAGTTCTTTTTTGAAAGTAGCTAATAGACTAGAATAGTAACTGAAATACCTTTCCTGCAGCAGGTTCTGTTATATATATAGAAGTTATCATTGTACTAGAGGCAGTTCAAAATAAATACTGCTATTTATTCTGTAGATTATAACTACAAAAATTATGACCAAGAAAAACTTTTTCTTAAGCATAAAGTTTGAGTTTGAAAAGGCACATTAAGAGAATGCAGGGGCCCTCCCTGGTGGCGCAGCGGGTTGAAGCACAGCCCTAGGAAGCTAAAGCAGCTTCAGCATGAGTTGATCCCCACCTGCACCAGAGGTGACCCACATGGCGCGGCAGAACTCTCCTGACCCACCCGCTACTCCCCTAAGCGGTATACTTCGTCCATCTGCCTGTTCTGCTCCCTACTCTGTCTCTGGTGAAGCCTCTTACCGCCCCTGCACGTCTGGCCTGTACCCCAGTATGAATAAATAGATAAATCTTTAAAAAAAAAAAAAAAGTGCAGAAGTCTCATTCTATCACACAAGATTACAAGATTTAAAGGCAGAGCAAAGGAGAGAGTCTGGAGTAATACTGTGATACACCACTTTTTCATGATGCCCAGTGTTGGAAGCTCAAACACAATTTAGGAATGACGAAGATATGAGAAAAGAGGACAGCATGATGCAGAGGCTGTTCAACTACTTCCTATTTTAATTAACCTGCAGTTAACTTGAGTTGTTGTAAAGGTTGATTTTATTTTTCATCTTGACTGGACCAAGGGATATCCAAATACCTCATAAAGGTTAACACTTAGGTTTTCATGAGAGTGTCACCAGAAAGATTAGCATTTGAGTCAGTTGACAGAATAAAGTGTCCTTACCAATGCAGGTTAGCATCATCCCATCTGTTGAGGCCCTGAATAGAAAGGCAGAGGAAGGCGAGAATGTGCAGTTTCTGTACCAGCAAGGCATTTATTTTCTCCTGTTCTGGG